CCCGCCTGTCCATTGTGAAGGCTACTCCAGGGTAGGCGGAGAGCCAAGTGTGGGCCCTGAGCGGCCACAAGAGCTTATTAGAAATGAACTCTTCAGGCTAGAAATACAGCGAGGTGGGTAAGAATACTTGCTGCTCTTCCAGAGGACCCAGGTTTGGATCCCAGCACCCACATGAGGTGCTCATAACCACCTGTGACTCCATCTCCAGGGGATTTAACAGTCCTCTGGCCTCTGCAGGTACGTGCACTAACGTGCACCTAGATACACACACACACACACACCACACACACACACACACACACACATAACCAAAACTGAAATAAATCCTTGGAAGGAAGAACTCTCGCCCACACCCCACACCTCCAGATTCAGAACTGGCTGGAGCGCCATGATCTTGCTTTAATGGGCCTTCCAGGATTTGATGCAAAGTCAAGTTCACACCCGGTGGCTTAAGCGGTAATACCCGCCCCTTTTCTTCTTTCATTTCCTGCCCTGCTCTTGGCCTCCTGTCTTCTCACACCCTTGCTCCCCCACAAAACAGCAATACCTTTTCAGAGACCCCTAAGACTCAGTTTAACTGCTCCAAGTTCATGAGAAGGCTTCTGCCTGCCAGAGACCTTGATCTGTTTCCTCTGCCTGGCACATTCTTCCTCTAGACAGCTAAGTAGATAGAGCCATGTTTACCTCAAGTGTCTTGAATGTCAGCTGATCAACCGTGGCTTGCTTTCTTGCCTGATGTAAAGAAGTGTGCCCCTCCCGCTCATCTTCCTCTCCACGTTTCAATTCTTCCTTACACTTACAGCTGTGTGACCTGTTACAGCTGTGTGACCTTTGCTAAAGATCTCCTTCCTTTTTCCACCAAGACAGAAGACTGTTGGTCTCTGGTCCATCTTGTTTTCTTTCTGCTGAACCCCTATGAGCTGCTCTGTCTCTCTGAGCAGGAAGACATCTTCATGCTGTCCTATACCAGGACTCCACATGCAAAGTGGAAGCAGAGGTAGCAACCAGCCAGAGCAGGTCCTTACTGCCCGGGACCTAAGGAGGCTTGGAACAAAATGGCGCTGGAAAAGAACAGCTTTGAGAAGAGCTACCGCACTGACCACCCAAGGAAACCGTGACTTCTAGAGGCTGGAGAACTAGGGAAGCCCCTGCATGACACACAGATTCTTTTGATAAATCTTTGTCAAATGCCAACCATTCACCATGGCCAATGCCAGATCCTAAGCAAAAGGCAGATCTGGTACTATGGCCTCTTTCAGCCAGCTCTCCTGCAGACCTTTGGCTCCTCGGCTCCTGCTGACAATGTTGCAGGTCCCACCTTGTGCTGGACCAAATAGTGTCACTACCTCCCCAATCCGTATGTTCAATCCTGACCTCCAATGGGACCGTGTCTGGGGACAGGAGGGTTAGGGAGGTAAGGAAGGTTCTATGAGGCCAACTGGTAGAATAGGTGTCCTTACTACAAAGGCCCCAGGGAGGCCATTCTTCCTCCCCATCATGTGAGGATATAGCAAGGTGACCTTTTGCATGCCATGTAGAAAACACCCACAAACACTGAACCAGCTGGCACCTTGACCCTGGATTTGATGACTCCAAAACTGTGAGAGAATAGCTCCACCAACCTAAGCCACCCAGCCTGTGGCATTTGCTATTGCATCTCTAGCTGACTGATACACCGACCTCTGCCTCACACCAGTGTCCTGTTGTCCTGGCTATTCTTCAGGTTGAGGTGGTGGACAGTGTTAAGAGGCGGCTTCTTACAAATGTTAAGTGACAAGCAGAGTCTGCGATTTCCTTCTTCAGAGTTCCAGCCACAGACCTGCACCCTCCAAGCCAGAGTCCAGACAAGGGAAATGGAGCCTTCGTGCTCTCTGCTTTCCTGCTGGGAAACTCTGCTTAGCTTCCTGACACATAGTTCTCTGTTCTCCTCCTTCCTCAGTCCTTCAAGGTCAGGAAAGTGATATGCTTCTCTCTTGTGGCCCATAATTATATCCACATTCTGCCTAGTCCCAGCTAAGCCTTCATTGTGGACAAAAGCTTCTCTCCCACATATCTGGAAGATTCCATGGGACAGGTCATCCGCGTCTGTTCCTTAGTATTAAGGAGCAGTAAACAGGCCTAAAGAAGCCTAATACATACTAGAATAAAGATTACATACGAGGAAAAGCTAAAACTATATGTTGTATAATACATAAATGTGTATATTATATACATGTGTAGAATACCTCCCCATTTTATAGATCTATATACGTAAGCAGATATATACCCATTTTCAGCACACATATGGTATTATGTTTTTCATACTTCTCTGACTCTGGTTTCATTTGTCTAACCTTATGCCCCATCCTTCCATATTTGTACCGAGAACTCCTGCCTTGTCTCCACCTCTATAACCCAAGTCGCGATGCCTCTCACACAACGGCCGAAGGCTATTCCCTAGTTGCCCTGCTCCGGCTCTTGCCCTGCCTTTGTCTGTTCTTCAAACAGAAATGAAGACCTCTGAAAAGCAATCTGCTGGTGGCAAGATGTCTGTTTCCACTGGGCACTGCTGCTCCTGGTACGCAAGGATTGATGGAGTCTTATTCTCTCATAATCAATTCAGAAACCTTTCCTATGTTTTTAACTTTTTACTGTTTATGAGCTAAAAATATCCCTTCTAAAATGTTATCTTCCCTTTGCATAGTAAGTCCAGTAGGGGAATGGGTAGAAGGTAAAATGACCGAAATACATTCAGCTATGAGAGCTAATTTATCCATACAGGCATTCTGTATTTTTTGCTCTTCTTTTTGTCAACTGTCAGGAATGGATCCAGTTGAGACTGTAGAACCTTATACTAATGTTGAAATCATACACTTATGGGTAAGTAATGATGGCTGCAAAGCCCCTTCAGGAAAACAATCACTGTTTTCCACAGATTCTTCAAGGTCAAAGTACTTCTAAAAAACAGCTATTCATTCTAATATTTACCCCATCAACAGTGACTCTCCTAAATACCTACAACACAATATAAAAATTACAATGTTAGTTACATTATATTTTTTAAGTGAATGATTACAATGAATACAAGTAAAAAACATGTTTTCCATAGCCCTTAAATGATTAAGCATTTTATGTATTACAGGTGAAAAACAAATTATCCCCCAGAACCCACCTACAGTTAAACATTTATCTTTTAGACTCCTCATAGTTCAGGGGCCTTTCAGCCATAACCACTTACATAGGCAATAGTTTTTATCATTGCCAGAAAAACAGGTTACTAGTTTCACTTTCCATATTTTAGGGTCCTATCCAATTATCTTAACTAACCATCCAATTCTGTTTTCTATTTACATGAAGTCAATTATTGAAAGTTTGTTTTAGCTATGATGCATACTGAAACCTGTGAACACATTTCCCAATATCAAAAAGAACTAGAGCTAACTCCTGGGACTCAGGTGTTTTCCTTAATCATTACCCTAAACCATACCCTATACGGCTCCCGAAGAGACACTCCCAAGTCCCAGTTGTGTGGCACTTCCTTGGCACTATTTTCTAGCCTCTGCACCCCCTGCTTTATCAGGGGCAGGGGCAACACTACATCCTACCTTTACCTATATTAATTTTCCCACTAAACTAACCTCTATCATAATCCCTTACTGTATTTATTAAAAACTCTTAATCATGAAAATTCTATCTAAACTAACACTATTATTGTATAAAATCATTGCTTCAGTTAAACAGTACAGCTCAAGAGGAAATGATCTTCATAATAATCCATAGGTAAAAATACCCAGTAGAACGGATAGTTCCATGAGATAACTACACTACATTAATGATCCTCCCACACCCATTCACACCATGCCAGATACCAGAGAAAAATGGCAATGGCAAACATGTAAAGGCACAGCAGTAGCAAGGGACAATCTGGAGCCGAAGCCCTCGGGGCCTTATCTATCTGAGATTCACCCATCAGTGTCCTGCATTCTGGTGGGCAGAACCTCTCAATTGCCACCAGCTGCTCCTCTGACATGGCCACCCGCACCCACACCGACTGAGTAACTCAAAATTACTCTCTCAAGTAAGAATATTTACCTTTTGTGTTGCCACAACCCCAGGAGCATCTTAACTGCCCACACCTACAGACTGATAACAGGCTGAGACTTATAAACCCTCTTCATGGTGAGCCTGGATAGATGCCTCATTAGTAAGAATGAGTACTGCTCTTGCAGAGGACCTAAGTTCAGTTCCTAGCATTCATGACACAGACCGCCTATAACTCCAGTCTAGGACATCATACACCCTCTTCTAGTCTCTGTGAGCAACTGCATTCACAGGCAGACCTCCATCCATAGACTAAGCCATCCCTCGGGTCCCTAACTTCTCTAACAGTAAAGACCTAGTCACAACCTCTCAGCAATTACACCCTTCCATTTTTTGCCACTGTTGTTTTGGCCCTGTTGGTACCCAATGGTTATCAAAAGGGCTTCTTCTCTTCCACCCTACCTGCATCTCACCCAGTGGGAGCACTTTAGTACCTCAAGGGCCTCCAAGCAAGTCCCTGAGCATACCCCAGTTCCCATGGCAACTACTCCCATCTTTCTACAATAATTGATGTCAGGATGCCATGCAATTTATACATCCCAGTCTGTTTGCCCATTCACCTCCCTAATTTTAGCAATGAGGTCTCACTTCCTAGGAGGCCCCTCAACTGGACTTAGAACTCTGGGACACCCTAGCCTTCTTTACTGACACAGGACCAACCTCATGCCATAAAGCACCCTGACACAGGCGCCTTCCCAAAGCCCTGACCTTGACTGTTCAGCAACCTCTCAACTCTCCCAAGTCCTAAATGTACAAAGGCTACCAGCCCTACCTGTCCACTTCCAACACCCCGAAGCCAAGCCTCATGGGGGCATCAAGAACCGGAAAGGGACAAGGAGTGACAGGAGCTGCCCTTCAGGCCTCCTTTTCCACCCCTAGCCCTGTGAGCTCAGGGGTTGACACGGATTTAAAAGGCAGGCTGAATTCATCTATCAGGTTTTTATTTATTGCACAGTTGGGGAGGTAGCAGCAAAGTTGGCAACAAGTTTAACGTAAAAGCTCTCGTCACAGTCCTTCCAGGCACTGGCAGATGGACATGGGGACAGGACACAGTCCTCTGAGGTGCTGCTGTTAAGACCTTGTATGCTGGAGTCTCCCATGCCTGAGCCAATTACTAAACATAACAAAAAGATGTTTCATGATGCTCCAAATGGGCAGTCTCTAGTTTCACTTCAAGTGGTAGTCTTGCTGTCTACTCCCTGGCCCTCTGGTGTCCACACCTAGAGAATTAAAAAACAAAACAAAACAAAACAAAGTGAACAATGCTTTGGATCGCTACCTACATAACCACTGAGCCTCTCACTGTTAGCTAATTGGAGGCTGAAAGCAGGTCAGAGTGAGACAGGTTCAGAAGGGACCCGAGTCCCTGCACCCAAGTTTACCCATTTCCTGACAGTGAACAGTGCAGCCAGCCCTCTACCACACAGGCTTCTGGAGGCCTCTCTTCCACAGCCATGGAAGGCAGGAAACACTGTTCCACAAGGGGATGTGACTGCGGCTCATGGGATACTTGCAAAACTGAGCCAGAATAAAACCCTTCAAGGTAGAGAGTCCTGCTTTCTACCTCTCTCTTCCATAAGCCTCTGGACACTGCCCAGCGCTGGTAGAGAGCACTCAGTGAGCCTGGTGCCAGCAGCCAGGGGACCAAGAAGCTGCGAGAAGGAAGATTTGTTCGAAAGCACCAGGGTTTGGCAAGGACAGGTGTGGATCCTCCAAACACGGGGAAAGGCTTTCGGCATCCTCTCCCTGCAGTATCAATGACCAGGGCACAGGCAGCCCACGATCACTTTCGAATACAGGGGTAAAAGGGAAGCCACGCTGGGCAGCTTAGGAAAGGGCCACACTGGGATAAGTGGCCAGGAAACAGGGATCATATTTACAGCCCCTAACTGAAGTAGCTTCCCAATTCCCCAAGCTTCTCAAATGCAGCACTGCTAGGAACCCCTGGAGAGCCTGCTAAATACCGCTGACTCCAGGCATGACCTCTTACATGTCCAAGGTGAAGGGCAGTGCTTGCTTCAGAAAGCGCAATTTGAGAACCATTATTTCGATGGTCTCCTACTGGATAAACTGAGGGAAAGGACAAACCTGGGGGCACCTCTGAAGACTCACTAGGTCTGGAAGTCTAGCACGGCACTGCTTCCTAACAAGTACCCCACCACAGTTCAGAGAAAGTTGTCTGTACCCCCCAATGAACTGAGGGGCACACGACTTCCCAGGGGCTCCTATGTCTCCAGAGTGGCCAAGTACCCACTTTACACTATAAAGATGTACAGGAAAAGTGAGGTGACAGGGGGAGGCATGTCCCTGCTGGCCTGGGCGGGGAGGCAGCAATAGGGAGCAGCCTCTGCTTTTCCTCATGGCTGAGGCAGTTCCTGGACGACTGTTGTTCTCTAGTGAAGCATGTGGGATTCATACCTGGCAAGGATCCTGTTCCAGCTGCTTCTGGAACCACTGACAGACACAGCAGGGATCAGCTGACAATCTACAGAGACAAACCACAATCGGCACCTCAGAGTCAACCAAGATGTTCTACAGGAACCAAGATAAAACTAGTAGGTGGGGGGGGGGGTGAGCAAGGGGGGGGGACGTGGCGCGCACGCTACAAAGTGGCTGCAACAACTTCTCCCTGGAGCCTTTCTCCTTGCTGGGTACTCAACTCAAGGCCTCACACTCAACACACCAGTGCTTTACCTGAGACACATCCCCAGCCTCCTACTTTCAAACTTTACCTGCTGACTGTACCCATCCTCCACAGGTGAAGGCTGAGTCTTGGCTCAGGGCTATGGGTTTATTTCTTCCCCTATATTGAATACATTGTAATTAATGATTAAAAAAAATTGGTTTTCCCGCTTCTAATTTTGGTAAGAAGCAGTTTGGATGTGTGTGTGTGTGTGTGTGTGTGTGTGAGTTTGAATGAGAACGACCCCATAGTTAATAAATATTCCTAGTTGGTAGAACTCTTTAGGAAAGATAAGGAGGTGTGGTGGCGAGCGAGGCTTTGAGGTTTCAAAAGCCCTTGCCATTCCCAGTCAGCTCTCTGCCTGGTGGTTGTGTCTCGAGATTCTAAATGTGTCTCAAGCAGCTCTTAGCTACTGCTCCGGCATGGCCATGCCTGTCTGCCTGCCTTCATGCTGGTCACCGACTCACCTTCTCAAACTCCAATTCCCCAATAAATTCTTCATGGGCACTAGGCACATACATGGTATAAATGCGTGTGCATTCACACACACATAAATAAAAATGTAAATTATATTTTGGTCTGCAAACCACGCATTTTAAAGAAAGTTCCAAAGGGCCAGACAATTGGCAGAAGAAAAAAATGGCTAAGAACTGTGGCTCGCAAGTGATGCCAATACATACCGCAGGCCACACAAACGCAAGGGAGCGAGCGGCACTCTGTACCAGGAAGTTCCTCTTCTCTCAACACACACCTAAGGACTCCTATTACATGTCCTACCCCACGCCTGCCAAACACATAGCTCTGCTCACTCAACCTGTGTCCCCCCATTATCTCCCCTCTGCCCGTGTGAGGACTTTAGGAACCTGTCTAGGCACAATGCCTTCAGACGTGGCTCTTTGGAAATCTGTACTGGCCTATTACCTCACCAGTTTCTAGAAACAGGACAACAAGCTTCACAGACCCAGCACTGACTTCCAGAAAGTAATACACTGCAGAGTGTAGGAAAGCTCCAGGCCTTTGAGGGGTCAGGATAGACTCCCCAAACCCAGGAACACATCTTTCAGCATCCTGTCCCTGCACTACCAATGACCAGAGCACAGGCAGCTGAGATCACTTTCGGATGCAGGGGCAGAAAAAGACAAAAGGAGACCTAGGAAAGACACGAGACTTATGCCAGGGCCAGGTGCAAGCCACAGTGAACACATGGGTCCTGTGCTAACATCAACCACACAGACCCACATCCATCTGCCCAGGAGAACAAGGGATACTCAACGGACACAACTACCAGAACCTGCTGGGGCTGAAGTCAGTCCTATGAACTCATGTCCATAAAAATCTTGGGGTGGCTTTGGTTTTCCAAGCCAGCAAATGCAGGTTCAAAAGAGGTGAGATGGCCTCTGGTGGGGCCTGGGGACTAGCTAGGGATCAGCTGGTCACCGGCTGGGGGCTCAAGGCAGACAGTATGTCTAGGCTGAGCCCCTGCTTTCTGCCAGTGAGGTTGGACTACTAGTCACACTGGACAGCCAGTGCTTATGTGACCAGGAACAGAAAAATCACAGCCACCGAGATACAGCTTCCCGGGATGAAGCAAGGCCCACATGTGGACCGGGGAGAAATGGGTTCTGCTCTCTGATGCTGAGGGATGGTGCCTCAGGAAGCCAGCCAGGGGCTCCACACTACCCTTAGCCCTTCCTTTCCCTCATTGGCCAGCTAAGTATCCGCCGCCACCCCCCCACCACCACCCCCCCACCCCCGCACCGCTGACAAGTCACTGCTACCCAGTGCAATGACAAAGAGAAGGTCAGAGGGGAACGGTGGACTACACAGGCAGCGTCTTCAATGCCCTTCTCTTCCCTTACAACTCACTGACAATGGAGAGGCTCTAAGCTCTCTTAGCAGGGCTCTGGAGGTGCCAGGTATGATCCAGGTTTTGGAAGGATCCACATCACCCTCACCTCCCCTACACAGCCACCAAAGCAACAGAGATAACTACTCAACTCCAGGAGCTCCATCCAGGCTGAATGAAGCTCCAGGCTGGACAGAGGCAGCTTTGGATTCTCTCAAGCCCCGACACCCTGAGCAGGCCTTTCTGAACACAGTGCTGAGTACCTGCCCGACCTGCTACAACCACCTGAGCAGCCACAACGGCCTCACTCCTTACCTGGGGGAGAGACTGGAGCTCTTTGGAGACAAGCCTGACGAGGCTCTGCTGTGTGGGCTGCTCAAGAGCACACCGGGGCCACGGCACTCTGGCGGCACTGGGCACGGGCCTGGCAGGAAGGGCAGCACAGACACGTCATCATTCAGTGTTGTCCACTTCTCGTTCTTGCCTGTTCCCACGGGGCGGAGAGGAAAACCCTTCCTGAGTGGCTACCCAAGGCAGCGATCTAAAGTAGGCCACAAGGGAAGGATTCCTCAAGGAGGGAGAAGAGCAGATCTGCCTCCTCCTGAAGCTGTCTGTGCAGGCTGCTTACTCAGTTTAAGGGCAACAGTGCCTCACAGCGAGTACCTGCCCTTAGTCTTTCATGTGTTCCAGTCAGAACCCCGACTCTCGACCGACAGAACACAGCAGCATGCATGCTAGGGCTCAAGCAAGGTAACACTTCCTACCAGGTCTCAAGTGTCCTGGGAGGTGACAATGGGTGTGGAGGCTGAGAAAGCTTCTGAAGGAAGAGAGCACAGTCTGAGCTCCATGCCCTGCCGAGGCAGAAGTGCCAGGACGCTAGGCAGCACGGGGCACCTAACAGGCAGGACGTGGTGTGGGAAAGCACCAGGGTTTGGCAAGGACAGGTGTGGATCCTCCAAACACGGGGAAAGGCTTTCGGCATCCTCTCCCTGCAGTATCAATGACCAGGGCA